AAAGTATTCACTAAATTATTGTTTTTACTAATGGGGAGTGGCAACATCAGAGAACCACTTTGGAAGGAAGAATTTAAAACAATTTAAAGAAACAATAAAGTATCAGAGTAAACTCATGACAAATGTAGTTTTAGTCCAAGCAGACAGGCGTTTGTTTGTTTTAATGCAAATATATGTCTGGCTAAAAAGAGAATATTATTTGAAAACTATTTTCTTGGTTTGGAATGTAGATCAGTGCTAAAGCAATTGCATAGCACACCATTTAAAAACAAAATCTTATTGCAAATATTTACATATTCATTGACAGATTAGACTGAATCAAAACTCAGAGAGCAGAGGTTTGGGACATTAAAAGGCCACAGAGCAAGACCCTCTTTTAATTTACATACTAAGACTTTATACATAGATCCCTCTTTCAATGTTTTCAGAAGCTGTCAGCTGAACTATTTAGGATATTGAGTCTCTTGGATGTTCTTCAAGCTTTTACTCCTATATGTAAGCCTTATGTGAGAAGAGGAGGTAGTTGAAGTTAAGAAGACTTTGTGATTTTAAAAATCTCTGGAGAATTTGGCAGAAGCCTCACAGTGAGGCCTGGGTTGTAGGTTTTGGTGGCCAGTAGATTCATGTTCAGCTCAATCGGGCCTCAGAAGAGATGTACACGGAGCTATTGAAATGATCTAACTCCACAACACAAAGTATACTTGCTGTTTTTTGTTTCCTATGTTATCTGCTTTGTGTCTCAAAATCAGCAATTTCTTAGCCATGTGAATGTGCAACTCTTTTCTTGGATTAGAGAGAAATACTTTGCTTGTATGATTTGGAAAGGCTTCCTTTCCTGGTTGTTTTCAGAGTGAGAGGCACTCCATTCTGAAGGTCAGAAAAGTCATGACACATGGGAGTGCTCATATCTCCTTACTTTACAGTGAGTTCAGAGGAGAATGATGCAGACAGCAAAGGAAGCCATGGTCATAATGTTCTGTGGCAGAACATTTGAGTTTCCCTACAGGTGGAATCAGTATGAAGTGAGTCATTAGTCATCACATTTTCTGGAAGAGTCAGAAGAGAAAGGTTTAGAGTGAAATTGAATACTGACTTATAATTCAGTTCTGTCATTCACAAGGGAGGATGATGTTCTGCATTAAGCTTATTCACCAGAAAGGCTCACAATAGGCTGGTTCTTACTTTAAGTGCCAACTAGAAAAGAATAGGAAGAGAACACATGGTTTTTGAAATCTTTATTGGATATTACTTATGATAGGAATATGTAAAGATGCCTTGTGCAAACATGTACTTTTTATATGATTAAAAATTCTGGTGGAGAAGGGGATAGACAGTAGTGGTAATGTGCAATGGCGAGAGCTAAGCAGTTAAAAAAAGGAATGGGACACAGGGAAATTATGAGTGCTGTGAATGACCGGGTTAGGAGGAAAAGAGTAGATATCTTCTTACCTGGGAAACTGAGTCCCACGTCACTGGTCAGTATAAAGGCAAAAGATAAATTAAAGATAATGTAATTCACCATGGATTTGATGGATGAAGATGGTCATTCAACAGATTCTCCAGGTAGAGATGGTTCAAAGACCAGAAATCTGGCTAACAGATAAGACCCTGCCAACACTATTGTGTTTGCTAATGGGAAATTACCTGTAAATTAAAACTCTCAACAGCAGTCATATTTCAAAAGATTAAAACTGTTCAATACAAAAATATACTTCTTTGAAAGCTAAAAAGTTCTTTTAATTGAGTGTTGACTCAATGTTCAAGGCTCCACACCAGAAATGCAGATGTGTCAGGAGAAACAATTTGGTTCTTCTATCTTTTTTATGATAATATGATTGCAGCTAATGTAACATTTCTAGGTTTCATAGTCTGGAGAGAAACTGCTAGCTTGGTAAGTCTACCAAACTGTGAGGACGAAGAGGTAGGTATATGGGTGTTAGACAGAAGGCTTTCCATTCCTTTGTGCTAACTAGAAGGTTTGACCCTCCTCCCTTTTTGCAATTATATATAGGATATCTGTCAATTCCTCATGTTATTTAAAGAGTCACTGGTAGGAGGTTATAAAAATCCATTTGGGATAGAAATTGGGTAAAAAAAAACAAAACCAAAATAGAATCAGAAGGCCTTCCCCATCCCCATATTCTCTTCTTTCCTACTCCCTATTCTTCCCAGAAACAGCTGTTTAGTTTAAGGTCCCTTAGATCTGTGCTTAAGTTCCTTCCTGTGTCTTAGTCCAAGTAGCCAGGTGCATGCCTAATTAACAAGTCTACATGGTTGACTTTTGTCTCTTACCTAGTCTTTTCTGGGCACACCAGTCAGTGTGGACAGTGTTGGGTGGGAAGCTTTCTTTACTGTTCTTTGGGTGATAGTTTCTTACTGCATGTAGATGTAAAACTCCAAATTCAAAAGCCTCCCAGATACAGCACTTTAAGGAGCATCCCTGAGATTAGTGGCAAATGCCCACTCTTGTGAGTAGTAGTTAAGGAGCCACACTGGTCTTTGAGATATCACCCTCCATTCAAAGCAGAAAGGGCTCCAGTGGATGGATTTGACCAAGTGAGATGCGGTCCCAAACTCACACAGCTCTCAGAACCTTAGCCCTCAACTCCTCATTTCTTTTCTCACAGAACTTACTCATTTCTCATCAACCAAGCATTCAGCCTTCTCCCCTTCTCCCAATATTTCTGACCAGAGCTCTCAATATGCTAGATCAGAAACTCCCTGATCTCTAGAGACAAAATTCTCCTAATTAAAGATGGCCATTGGCCATGAAAATATCTGTGAGAACGAGTCTGTTTGAATTTTAGCACTCAGACCAGTGCAGGGCAGGGCTAGGTGGGCTGTAGATGGCACCCAGAAAGACAAGGTCTCTGAAGTTCATCCACTAAGAATCTCAAAATCTCTGCTGAGTTTTTCACTCTAGTGACTGGAATCGACCTCAACTCATGTGATTTTAGGGTGTTGGACCCTGAGTAACCTCTGAGCAAAATTGACACAATCCCAGTGAGCTGAAAGCAAGCTGGCACTCTTGAAGGCTTGCTTATTTTTCCTGTTTGTGGTTTCCTCCCTTAGCAGATCGTGAAGTCAACAAAATTCCCCACACGGTGGCTCTCTTGGCTAAAGTTGGGCATTGAGCGGTGCAATTTTAAACAAGTAGTCTTGGAGATTTTAAAATATTTTTTCCAGATTGAACTCATTTCAAAATTCAAGTGGGAGGCAAAAGTGAGGATTTTAATAGGGTTCACGTTTTAATTGCAGAGAGGAGGAAGTAAGGAAAGTCACTGTAGGCAATAGCTTTGGACAAGTTTGTTAAGAAAGGCCGCTCTGCTGGGTTATCCTTCTTATTCACTGCAGGCTCTTTGTGTGAGGGTTGGGGAAAGTGGCCACTAAGCACATAATACAGGCAAGCAGACACTCCAGCAGACAGATATAATACACAGAGAAATGTCAAGAAAGAAACGTCCCCCATGTAGAACTAATTTGTTGAAAGTAGTCAATCTAAAGATACAAGGAAACTAAGAGGAAACAGGCAGTTTTGGATATCCATAGTCAGGAAATAAGGAAAATGTTTATTCTTGGAGGAAGAATTAAATCTCAAAAAGTAGGAATAGCATTAAAACACTATGCTTCTGAAAAAATATGCATAACTAACAGCTTATTTAAACACTAGCCCCAAAAAATCACAGTAACAGGAAGCACTCCCACTTAATTGTAATTTCCTCTATTTTTTGGTGTGTATAAGATCCAAATAGTTAAAATATACACTAATTGTTACTGATGCTTCTATTTCCCTTTGAAAAAAAAGACACTCAAGATCTCTTAGTGAACCAGCAATTTATGAATCTTCTGGAATTACTCAGGGGCTCAGAAGGCTCCTGGTGGATGTGGTTTTTCCTTATTGTTTTCTTCTTCTCATTTTATTTTTAGTTAAAAATATTAACTAATCCCAGGGAAGGGTTCCTGGTAGTAACCTTCACCAGGATAACCTGTGCTAGGAATCCTCCTACATTTCCAGCCTGTATTTCCCTAAACAGAATTCAACTTGTAAGAGAAGTGTAAGACACACATTTCTCACTCTCACATTCTTAAAATTTCAATTATTTCAGAAAACATGGTTTCAATTTATAAAATCAGTAAGAGCCACAAAGAGTGTGAAAGTGTGCAAACAAGGAAGGTAGAGATCCAACTACCAGGACTAAGAAGAAAAAGCTCTGCGCTGAAATCTAAGGCAAGGAATAAGAAGGTTCTGAGCACTGGGACATTCTTGGACGCAGGATGCAAGGGGAGATGGATCTGAACAGCAGGGTGATTTCGACAATGAATTGCCACAGTAAGAGCACCACTGCCAAACCTTCAGATTTAGACTGTGGTGAAAATTAAGCTAGTGGCAATTTTCAATGTTTGTAGCATCTGCGCCCAACAGTTCAGCACCCAGTGCCTGGACAGCGCCACAGGCTCTGCTCTCAAGGCAGTCTTTCTTGCCTGTTTTGTCAGTCAGTCCACTCAGAGACACAGCCAGACTCATTAGATATTTACTGAAAATCCTCCAAGACTTCCCTTTAAAACACAAAACGATTTCCATATTTAGTTGCCTATTTGGAATAGCATAAGCAAGAAATTAAGAGATCTAAATTAAATTTATTAATGAGAGAGCTTGATGGTGCTTAATTCTAAAGATCATAGTTATCCTCGAAGGGGCTTGTAAAAAAAGTAAAAAGAAAAGGTACAATAAAAACATGACTTCACCATCCCCTAAATTCCACGAATTCTTCACTTGTCGTTGAGAAATGGGTGAAATCGAAAACCATCAAAATAATTGGACTTCTTAAAAATTGGATTGTGTGAGTGAAAGGTGTTTATGAGAAGCTGATGACTCCGGATCTTATCATCCTGGAGGACAGCACAGAATAGTTAATATGTTCCTTGAGGGACTAGGATGCTGACGTCTTTTACTGATACCGGATCATTACGTGACTGAAAAAAAAAAGGAAGTCATATCATGAATAAAAATCGGAGCGCAACAGTGCAACCAAAATATTCTGTACTTGAAGGCAATTGCAGACAGATGTTGACAAAGAGGTGTCTCTTGAAACCATATTCAGATAGCTTTTTTTTTGTGTTAACTGCATATATAAATACCAGCAGAAGGCCGGTCACCTCTGTCAGCATCAGCAGAAGCCGCATCTTCAGACGCAGCCTGAGTGAGACCTCGGAGCAGAGAAGGTGCCTCGGACTAGCTGCCGGATTAGCCTCCCTCAGAGGCAGCCTGGGCTAGCCCTTTCCTTTCCCATCTTCCTGTTTTCCTTGACTTTCCCCCTTTTTCTTACCCACTAGCTTCTTTCCCCAGGCGGACTTAAGGGCACTCTGCTCCCCCTCCCTTTGGCTGCTCGCCTACTCTGTCTTCTACATCTCTCTCCTCGCCCACCTTCTTCAGTGTCACGCTCCCTTCTACTTCTGTGCGTCTACAAAGTTTTGAGCGGAATTTTAGCCTCGGCAAACACGTCCCCCCCAGCTTCTCTAGCTAATTCCCGCGGCTTCTCTCCAGACACCAGCGCCAGACAGTGAGTGATGCCTCTTGGATTGTGATTCCAGCCCGGAAACTCGAAAGAAGCCCTTTGCCCTCCGTCCTACTTGGCAACCAACCCTCGCCTAGCCGCGGTAAGAGTCTAATAGTAAGGGAGGGGGGAATCTCTTACCATACCATACTAACCGATTCATTGACTACCGCATCCTTCCCTGTGCTGACACAAGTTAGTCTTCTTTAGTTCAATGTCTGGCTAGTTGCTGAGTGCTGGGCACATGCATAGCTTTTTTTCCCCTAACTGTACCAAGGGAGAAGTGGCCAGACACACTAGTGTGTCTAAGTGGCGTTCAACACAGGGAGCAGCAGCTTCGCGGGCTCCCCCAGCTCTCAAGAGTTTCTTGAGATTAGAAGGTGGAAAGCCAGGGGCGATTTTCACTCACTGCGTTCCCTCTTTTCCCTCCTGCACAGAATGACCATGTGTAGCGGAGCAAGGCTGACCTTGCTGGTCTACGGGATAATAATGCATAGCAGCATCTCCTGCTCACCTGCCGCCGGACTCCGTTTCCCTGGGATCAGGTAGGTGCTAGTCTAGGCTGAGCTAGATCTTCCCTTTGCCAGACACCTCCTCTCAGTCGCCTCTCTGCAGTTCTGGATCGCAGGCTGCTAAGCATCGCTTCCTGCGTGTCCAGGGCATTTCTACAGCCTTTGGCTAGGTACCAGGTCCCTAGCTAACCCTGGGGGTTAGGAAGGCTCCATTACAGCCAGACTCCCTCCTTCCTCACCAGTGGAGCCCAGGAACCCAGGTAAAGGGTGTGAGTTTCCGACATTTCCCCCTCCAACATGCCCAAGGGAGGGGGTAGGGCGCCCCCTCCCCCGCTCAGCTTCTTTTACCTATTCTTGGGACGAATTGCAGAACTTCAGCTCCCAGAGAAAAGCCCGGGGTTGAGAGTGAAGCTCTCTCCACTTTGCTTTGTTACTGCCTATTCTGGACTATTGGGGCGGGGTCTCTCGCTCCTCCGCCCTTCCTGTTGTCTCGCATCGTAACAGCTCTCTTTCAAATGAATCCCGTTTCAACTAGAGTTTGAGCCTTAGACTTCTTGTGTGTGTGTGTGTGTGGGGGGGGGGAGTCTTGGCCAGCCACGGCTAAAGAAAAGCTACTTGAGAGACAGAAAACACAAGAAGGAGAGAGGAAGGGGTAATAAACAGATGCGAAGAAAGGAGAGGAAGCCAGAAGGCTGGAGGGGTTGGGGGACAACCTAGCCCACTTAAGGATGCAGAAAACCCGGCTTTTGTCTTGGCATCTGCTTCTAATCGTGAGGCGCAGCCCGGGTTCCCTACTGTAGCCTCAGACCACCCCACCCTTATGCGGGGCAGGGAAAATGCGTGGGTCCGCGTTGATGGGTGCGGGGTTGCACTGAGGGCAGCCAGGAGCGCTCAGCGTTGACACTGAGTTGACTCTTGCAGCCGCGCCCAAGAACCTCTGCCTTAAGGGGCGTCTGCCCATTAATGTATTGGCAGACAGGAATCCTAGCTTCTTCATCAGGATTCTGGCATGTGGGCGCCGGGAAGAGCAGGGGGTGGCCAGAAAGATCCTGGGTCTGGGGCCTGAATTGGGGGCATACGGAGGCAAGCGAGAAGTCTGGATGTGGGCGGTGAGGAGGATCTCATCCGACTCTGGCCTCTCCGGGAAGGGCTGAAAGGTGATAGAGCGGCCCAAGTAAGACTGGACCCTGCCTGAAGAATGTTATTTGTCCCTATTGCATTCCGCATATATCCAAGGTCCAAAAGCCAACGACTTTTTGTCCTCTACTGCCTGTCCTCTGTCGGACATGGAGGCGATAGGTGAGGAGACTGTGAGATCTATGGAATGTCAGTCCCCAGTCGACCCCTTTCCTTGCGCTCTGAGGTTGAGATGGAATCCAGTCTCCCCCGCCATTACTAACTGATCAACAGAAACTTGAAAGCCCTCTTTCACCTCTGACTATTCTCAAAGCTCCGTGTGCCTAGCACTTTTCCTGGGTGATAGGCACTGGAGCGCTCTACCGCACCACAGAGTGAGCCAAACTAGCTAAGTTTAGGGGCATCTATTATTCATGTTCCTAGCAGATTCTCTCCAGCCCAAAATAGAAGCTGGAGGTTCTCTGTGACCTACATCCGCGCGGGGAAGGGCTCCCCTGGGCTGGGCGGGTTGGATGGGGGTGGCTGCTGCCGGAGTTGGCCTCCTGCATGCTACCTACCCACCTATCCCTTCCATTCTGCTCTGGGTCTACCTGTCTCTGCTCATATCATCTCGTAGGATCTTTCTTGTGTGTTCTAAATGCTCCTAGGGGGAAGCCTTCACTTGGCCAGGTATTGGGGGTCTACAGAGTTGTTTAGTCTTCTTGGCGACTTGAGGAGACATGAGCGAATTTCCTTGTGGGGCAGGAAATGATGCTGGGTGTAGTTCCCTTACCTCGTTCCTAGGAAGAAAGGATAATTCTCCGGGAGGGGGGGGCATAACGAAGAAGGAAAATCAATGTGACTTTTTTGGTACCTGGCAGAACTGGGGAGGAACTTTTAATGACCCTCTTTCTGGCTATCTCGCAGACCAGAAGATGAGGCTTACGACCAGGACGGAAACCCTCTACAGGACTTCTACGACTGGGACCCTCCGGGCGTAGGGAGCCCCGCCTCTGCTCTGCGTGACGCCTATGCCCTTTACTATCCAGCGGACAGGAGGTATAATCCGTCGGGCTTCCTTCACCTTAATGCTTGGGCCTGTCGTGGCGGGAGGGGCCCGGTAGTGGCTCTAAAACTAGGGCACTTCCCATGAAAGTCCTCAAGCCTCCCTTCTATCTGGGTGAATTCATGAGAGCCACAGAAAATTAGCAGACAGATCCCTGTGAACCTGAGGCCGCACCAGGGACAGAAAGCTCTGCGGCACGGGAGGTGTCAGTGAGTGTGCAACTCAGTAGGTGAGGAGCTCTCAGGCCAGCCAGGTCGCCCCAGGGGCCAGGGCTAAACCTCATCTTAGATTCACCTCCGGGAAACTTCTCAAAGTAACTCCCAGATCCTGTGTCACTAACGGTTGTCGGGTGATCCTCCTTGAAAGCCCAGCAAGTGGGGAGCCTTGGCTGTCATTTGAAGGGCCAAGGCAGTGAGTGACCCAGGTCGCATATTTTGTCTCCCCCATTAGAGATGTCGCCCATGAGATCCTTAACGAAGCCTACCGCAAAGTCTTGGACCAGCTGTCCGCCAGGAAGTATCTGCAGTCAGTCGTGGCCAGGGGCGTGGGGTAAGAGTTTGCGACAGAATTAACCGCGAGTGATGCGCGCGCCAGGGTGGGTGACGGTACTGAGAGCGTGCAGGGAGGGCGGGGCAGCTTCTACGTTTAAGCGCGCCAGTACGCCTGTGCGCCTGAGGGTGTGTCTGCGTCCTGGCATTTAGGTGGGTATTACCAGCCTCGGGCGGAGTTCTAGAAGTTGGGCGTTTAAATTTGTCCTAAGAGCACAGACCCCGTGAGAAAGAGGGTAGGAAAATTGGGGGTTGGATCCTTGTTGAACCGAGAACCAAGTCAAGTCAGATAACCCCCTTCCCAGTCATTCAAAACCCTGGAGGTTCCTGGAAGGGCTTGCCCTAATTTGGGGGAGGAGCATTACGTTTACTATGAAGACAAACTTAAGGAATAAAGTCCCCGAATTGGATACTTAAAAGAAACAGTTTTTGCTCCGGCTAGACAAACCCAGAGCTAAGGTCTTGCGTGAAGCTTGTGTCAGCAGAAGGCAATATTAAAATAAAGCCCACAGGGAAGCAGATTACATTTAACCATGAATAATTCATGCAGTGAAAAATATTGCCTACAGCCTGTCGCCTTATATCACTATCACGTTTTTCAACTTAACGTAGGCAAAGATAGAGGCGAGCCCGTGTTTGCCTAGATTTGCAGAATCGATAACTTGGCAGAAGCCAGCGAGGCCTTTAGGAACCTTTGTATGTCGGGTGGTGGAAAGGTACAAGTCCGGACAATTTAGCTAGCGGCATGGATAGTGTAGTCTCGAGAAGCCACGTTTGGAGAAAAGATTAAAGAGAGCGTATTCTCCGGACGCCCTGGGGTGCTTCAGAAATATCTAGAAAGATGGGAAAGATCTAGTGCCAGGAAACTGTGGGTGGGAAGGAGGTTCCCCGGGGTCTCCAGCACAGTATTCCTGCCAGCTGGGACGCCGCAGAGGAGGGCTGCGCCGGGACGTTCGGAGTCCTGCAGGCTCCGGCGTGGGGGTGGGGCACACTTGTTTCCAATACACACACTCAACGTGTCTCCCACCCCGCCCCCTCTCCCCGCCCCCTCTCCTTCCAGGGAGAACATAGGTGCGGGCGCAGCGGACGACCGGGCTCCCCTTACCAAACGCCACTCGGACGGCATCTTCACCGATAGCTACAGCCGCTACCGAAAACAAATGGCGGTCAAAAAATACTTGGCGGCCGTGTTAGGGAAAAGGTATAAACAGAGGGTTAAAAACAAAGGACGCCGAATAGCGTACTTGTAGCGATGAGTTGCCAGCTACGGTGTGTATAAAATGAAAAGTCGTTTTCCAAATTGACTGACCAGTCATCGCTCATGTGTTCTTTCCAAACATGTATTTATGTATGAAGTAAAGCCATTAAATGACTATTTTGATAATAATATTGTTTTTCTTTTTACGAAGCACTAGAGAATGCACAGATATACTTTGTGGACCAATTATTGATATATATTATAAATATATATTAAGAATATATATAAGTATAACAGAGAGCAATTAACAAGCGTGCACAAGGATTGAAAATTCGCCTGAGCTGTTTATGTTTTTATATAAAATGAATAGAAAAAATAGACAATCATTGTTTTGAATATTACTCCTATTTTTGTAAACTGGAATTAAAGGATAGTATTTTTATCCACAACAGGCCTGAAGATATCAATAATGGCCATTTGCTACTGTAAAAAAAAATGATGCCCTGCTCCAGGGGAATTCTGAGGTAATGACTGGGGGAATTGCTGAAGGGCTTTCTTTCCCTGTGAGTCTCTGGGGCAGGCTGCGTGAACCCAAGCCTAACTCAAGCGGGCATTGTCCCACTGGCTGCGGGCAATTCCAACACTTTTGCTTTCTTTGATTCTACTTTTATGTGTATTTGTCTCTCCTCAGACTCTCAGCCCAGAAGGAAATTCTAATTAACAACTAGATCCAAATTGTGCTTATCCCCAGAATTCATGTCATTCCCTGGGATGAGAGTTGAGGAATTGTACAGAGGAGACCGGCTTGGAGAGAGCTCTCTTCTCTGTACTTCCCGATTCTTCAGGGAACGGACTATCCCAAGGTTAGGGAATTTGGAACAAAGTGAAAGAAATAGAGGCGGATTGGAAGAGGCAGAGTTTGTGGTGGCAGAGGAGGACCCTGCAGAGGGACTGGTTTGAGAACTGCCCCAAGTCTGAGAATCAGGGGGCAAGTCCAGCCCCTTTGCAGATTCCACTGTCTGACAAATTGGGTGCTGGGTATTGGAAATAAGTGCAAAGTACAATGTGTTTTTCTCCAGTGCTGTCCATGCTTCTCATTTTGTGAACCGGCCAGGGTCCTCCCCTTTGAACCCTACCCTGTAGAAGCCACCCCTGTTTGTGGTTTTTCTGGAGAACCCTCCTTTCTACCCCAACCTCCTGCATTGTTTAAGAATCGTTTACCATTTTTCACTCACTTCTCTTAAATTTGTGAATGCTACTCATTTGTTTTGTTGTTGTTTGATGCAAGCAGTTACTGTGAAGTTTAGGAACCCCTGTGTAGCTACCACCAAGTAATTATGCACTAAACATGAACTTTTTGTTTCTTGAGTTTGTAGGTAAAATGTATTTTTCTACATTATGGCTTATTGCTTAGTAAAACTTGTTTCATAAAACCAATCTTTGTCATATTAGAATGTGTAGTGTTCCAATATTGCTCAGTTTGACTTACTGATAAATCATTTAAACCCCATCATTATATGTATGAGTACTATCTTATATTTCTGGTCAAGAGTGGTATAAGCAGGGTCCCACATCCCAACCTTGTATCCTGTCTTGGCTAAAGAAAGCATGTCTGTTTCTTGTCAATTTCTTGAACATATATGGAATAATCTTTATAAACAAAAGAACCTTCACCCAGCAACCAGATCAAGCAGCAGCAAACCAGCAAGTCTCCCAAATTTTAGGCACAGATTTTCAAAAAAAAAAAAAAAAAAAGAACAAGAAAAAAAAACCCACCCATTAGTTTGTAAAGTTTAAATGAGTTTTCCTCTTTCCTGTACAGATTTGGTTAGTATGAAGTCAGGCATCTAAGAAAACAGAACTGTATTTGCATTCCCAGGCGGGTGGATGGATGCTGCCCCGAGATCACATTGCAAATAGAGAAAGCAGGCATTCGATGTCAGCCTGTGTCCGGCTACAGGATCAATCTTGATTTCAGCAGTCTCCTCAGGCAATGTGACCCGGGATGCAGTTTGCAGCTTTAGTGCCTTTCTTTGCCTTTTAAATCGCCACGAATCACAGATGGCTATTTAGTGGCCCTACAATGCTGCAACACATCGGCTTGCGTTTTAGTCTTAATTATTTGTTTCTTGGATAATGGGCAGAGTTTTCTGTATTTGTGTCAGCTGTTAGTGGTGAAACAAGGCTCTAGTGAACCTTTTATTTATGAAGTCTAACTTAGTGCTCACGTGGCTAGTGGCAAGCATTTTACAGTGATCACCCAATTTAATCTTTTGTATACTTTTTAGAAATGCCAAGAGCCTTACTAAACTGGAGCATATTTATGATATAGTGATGATATAGGTAGATGTTAGTCTTGGAGCTCTTATTTTGTGTGCAACTGATTATAGAAACATATTAACCAAGCATTATTACACACATAATATCTATAATTAGGACTTTGATAACTGTTATATAAAGTGTGTAAAATTTGTATGAATAAATTTTTGTAAACAATTCACTTTGGTCTAATGTTTGGAGAAAAACACACTCAGGAAATGATAATTTTAAAGATACTGTAAAATACTATATTTCTTTAGCAGCCATAAGATTTTTCATGTTTTGAATATATATCAATCTAACCATTGATGTACTTCATAAATTGTACTCTAACATCTGTTTGATGGGGTACCGGACTCAACAAAAACTTTAAAGTAGCTGCTCAGATAAAGAAGCCTAGGAAAACATGAAGCCCAGAAATAGATAAGGATGGTAGAACACTTGTAAGCTACACAGTTTGTCTGCTGGTGTATACATACATGGCTTAGTATTCAGAAAGTTACCAGACAGTGATGGAATATCATATTGCAGTGTTAGGTACACTTACAAAGTAATTAATTTTTAAAAGGTACCTGTATATTAGCTATGTCTTAATGAAATTTTGTATAAAAATGATTTAAACAATCAGTTTGGGAATCACAGAATGTGTTTAAAGATATATGAAGTAATCATTCACAAAAATGTTTTCAGTACAAGGATCAAGGACATAACTAATCAAAGCATTAACAAGAGATTTTAAAAAGTAATGTACTTTGAGGCTCAAGGAAAACACATAAGGTTATTTGTCGGTAATACATGCTATTAATTCAAATTAGTAATATTTAAAGGAAAGCCTTCATATGAAAATCCCATACATTTTCCTGTGTATTTTTTGGTGTTCTTGTTTATTTCTGGGTTAAAAATACCTTGAGATTCACTAACAGTAGTTTATGCCATTTAATGTAAAATGCAACATTTTCAACCTAAAATTCATGTGCTCAATTAGTAAATCAATAAGTATGTTACATTAGTATTTAGAGACTAGTAAGATTTCAAAAAATTATTCTTAGAGCAAAACTCAGAATTTTAGAATCATATATGACAGAGCCCAAATCTAGAAAGTAGATATATATGTAGAAAACAAGAAAAGAATCTAGTATAGTTAGTTTAAATCAGATTTTATTAGCTAAGGAGATTTTCCCCCTTCATTTGTAGTTTTCCTCTTCCTATGTCATAGTATAGTGAATGAAAAGAATGGAAAAAGACAACTTATTTGGTTGAGGACTAATGCAATGACTTGTCAAAGAATTAAAGATAAGCCCCAGACTTGGCTGATATCAAGTGAAGTTCAGTAATTTCACTTGGTGTATGTTTTACATGAGATAATTAAATGACAGGCATTATGATGAAAACTTAAGATAATTGAGTTTTCAATGGTCTAAGATATGTGCCTTACTGATATAAGGACTTGGAACATTGAGATCCAATATAATCCATATTAAACACTTGAAATGGACAGGCTGCTGGTCAAAGAGCTTGACTGACATCTAGATATGTCTTTTGTATCAATATCACTTGGGGTCTTCTTAGTGATGCAAATTCTAGGGTTACACCAGAACCAATGAGCTTACATTTTACATAAAGATGCTACTTTGATGTGCATTAAGTTTGAGACCATTTATATTTAGAATCTGATGACATATAGGTACATATATATTCAGGTTAGTTATTTTTAGTATTAAATAATCATCAGATTATGATCCTTGCATACAGTAATCAATAAGTCACATTCCTTCTCCCCAGGAATGGGCATTAGGCTCTTGGACAAGTACAGTATTTCCTTTAAGTAATTAAGGCCACTAGTTAGTATTATTTTACATGAATATTCTGGTTGCCTCCCTGCCCACCCCATACACACTTATAGGTAATCCCTGAAAGAGTACTTTTCTAAAATACAATCCCAGAAACCTTCAGTCACACGATTAGAAGATCAGTGCTGTGACTATGTAGCAGCTAGCTGGTACCAATTATGGGGACCAAGAAGTCAACTTCCAATTGCATTATATCTCAGTTTGGTTTTAACAGTTTTAAATCTCTGAACTGTTCAGAAGATGACTTCACCTGGAAGTGTCACTATGACCTCAATCCACCCTTTGTACCAGCACAACATCAGAAACCATGATCAAGCCAGCAGGTTTATCTTCTAGTGATATCTCCAAAGAAGAAGCATACACATTCTCATTGCTGCTGCTCTTGCCCCTGCACTGGATCCCTAAATCAACTAGTAGCCTATGGACCTTGACAATTCTCATCCAATCAAACAGTTTTAGCCTTTTTTTGTATCTCGTCCTATGAATGAGCTGTTACTGAATGGCTACCACTGTTACAGAGTTCAAGGTTCTTCCAGTTATTTTTCTCTGACTCCTTTGTGACCTCTTTTCACATGAGATTTTTTAAAATAATAACAGCACATAGGTATAAAAATAGGTATACACATCAAACACCATAATAAATCATATACGTAATTTAGAATATTTTTACTATTTATAATAGATGAAAAGCAAATTTTGCATACGAATGAGCTGGATGCACTTACTTTTACATAAATAATGAATCTTGACTGAATATTTGATACTGCAGAATATCTTCAACCTTTATGAGTTAATTGATAATTTATAGTCATTAATGCTGAGAATGCTGTTGGTATTAATACATATTATAAAATGTCAGAAGCATGTTTAGGGTCATTTTAGATATTTCTGAAAATTAAGCCCTAATATTAAGCCAAAATTTATTTACTGATTAACAACTAATCCAGCAATTTTAAAAATCAAGATCAATATAGTAAAAAACTAATTTGATAACTGTTGCGGAATGAGTAGGCAATGCTAAAATTCTTTGTTTCCACAATTAAATCATTATGTTTTTTATAAAAACATAAAACTGTCTATGTATAGTAACAACACTGAGTTCAAAACATAAAATGGTCTTGAGTCTGAGATGAGATGTTTCAGGAAGTATTTATTGGCATTGTATGGTTTTACAGTACAAACAGTACAAAATATAAATGTTTTGTGTTCAGAACAAAGGTTGCTGTGAAGTCATGTGAAACACTTCTGATTCATTATGCATTTGAGTTTGAATTAATTTTTTGTTTCTCTATTTTGGGAAACCTTTTGCTGTTATCAGATCTTTTCCTGACACATTCTGTTACATGACCCAATGTGGGGTTGCAACACACAGTTTAAGAAGTTGTTCTTAAAAGGACAGCTTCATAGTCTTTGAATGGGAGTGTATTTTTTCCATTCCAATAATCTCTATTTGCATGGAATATCTCCTTTAACTATTCAATGTCAATCATCTGTAAGGTCCAAGGACTCAAGTCTCCTCCTTTCCTCTTAATCCTCCTTCATGTGCATCCACCTCTCTTGTTGGCCTTAGACACAAAAATCTCTTACCTCCACACCCTAAGTGCTAGAATTATAAGCATGCAGGACCACATCAGCTCTCAAGCCCGCCTTTTCTAAAAAGCACCATCAGACACCAAGAGTCATTATCACCTCATTTTGAGACAATTTACTCATGTACTGTTTCTTGTACACTTTCTTTCTGTATTGCTACTTCTGATCTGGCTCACTCTTTAAAAAGTATTTTGTAAGTTAATGACTTGTTCCTAGATAGTCTCTTGGAGTGTTATCTGGGTGGTATGTTGTACCTTGCTGACTTCTGAAGGTAATCTGGTATGCTTCTAGAGACATAAGAAATGTCTTTCTTGAATGAATACATTAATCTGAAGATTTGAAGGATTCTCCATGACATTTCTTCCATATTATAAATAGTTGTTGAGGTGAAAAATATATTTAGGAAGTGAAATTAACTTATTAATTTGGTATTTATCAGAATTCTTACTCAATCTACCTTTAGGAAAAACTACATAGAAAAGAAAGGCAAATCAATTAGGTATGCTTCTGCCATAGGATAAAATGATCATTAACATAGAGGCAAAGGCTAAAATAAACTCAACCCATATGGCTTTTTATTTTATCATTCTGATAAAGAAAAGAAGGCTTGCATTTTCACACTAAAGCAGATCACCAAATGCCACAAGATAGTAATTCTTTCCCTGCTTGGAAAATAAATATCTTGAGATTCAAACAGGGAACTAGACTTTCCTCAAATTGATAGCATAATAGTTATGTATGATTGGCAGAGAAACTTCCTTGTCAATGAGAATGTAATTTAAAACATGATTTGGTAGATTGGAAAATGGAAATTATATATAATATATATAGTTACCATATATATATATATATTGTTATCCCTTAATAGTCATGACACTATTGCACTAGTGTGCACATTTTCCAGGCAGGTTTGTGGTACAGCAAATCAAAGCTGATAAACTGCTGCTGATTCTCCTAATCAGTCTTAAACTCTCTGGTTGGAGGTTCAGTCTCTGATAACCCAGGTTAGCTGATTTCTGTGGATTTTCTTGTGGTGTCCTTGAACCACAATCCTTGGCTCTCACAATCCTTCCTCCCCCTCTTCCACAGGATCCCCCGAGCTGATCCCTCTTGGGTTCCCATGCCCACTCCCCATCCAGACCCCATCCCCCACCCCATCCACCTGTGATATCTATTCTATTTCCCCTTAACAGTGGGGTTCATGTGTCCCTCCACTTGAGTCCTCTTTGTTACTTAGCTTCTTTGGGTCATTGGATTGTGCCATGGTTATCCTTTACATTATGGCTAATATCCACTTATAGGTGACCACGTACCATATTTGTCTTTCTGTGATCACACGTTCTTAATCCATCCATCTGTTGATGGGTATACCAGTAAATGAGTGTATCTGTGTCTTGGCTGATGTGTATGATGCTACAATGAGCATGGTGTTTTAGTAACCATTAATTTCAAGTATTAAATAAAAATAATCAAGCAATTTTAATGATTTTGAAAAACATCCTTTATTGAAATGTCCACTTTGGTACCTAACAATGTGAGCATCAAGCCAATATTCCAGAGAACTAATCACATGGTAGGAGCATCTGAAATGATCCAGGGCCTTATGCTGTATGCTCTGTGAGGTACTATTGTGTGTGAGGCTACCTTACTAGTATGAATAGGGTTGTATTTCATTAACAGAGTGAATAAAGCTATCACTACAGAGAAAATGTTTTCTTATTGAGTAACTTGCCAGTA